TGGCTTAAAGAGAAAGAATGTACCTGAGACGACCCATCTGTCTATCAATTTCAAGGTGATACTCACGAGATCCTTAATGTAAATGGGGCAACGATACTCGTCGTGGAAGAACTCTACTGCGTCTCCCTTCTGTAAAACGCTATCCATCCACTAAAAATGGCCAATTCAATGGACTCAGAATGATCTAAAGTGATATATGCGTTGCAAAACCGGTGTTGAGAGGCACCTGAATTGGGAGATTCTTTGGGAGTGGTGATACAGTTTGAGGACCAATGATGATACTACTTCTCAATATCGCAAAGTTTTGATATTTCTCTTTGATGAGAAGCTCTGCTGCAACTTTTGATTTCCCGTAAACGTTAACCGCAACAGTCTCGTCTTCTTCCTTGTAGAAAGACTTGAGACCTTGATAAACTGAGACATTGAGACAAGAAACCCATTCAGAAGCCATCAAAAGACAGAACAGGTCTCAAGTGGATTCTTACCTTGGTCAGTAGAGAGATGAATCAACAAGGTTTTGTTTCTCTCAAAAGATGATAACCAGTTTACAAGAGAACAAGGCACGTTGATGGACATGGCGGAATCTGGATCTTGCTCGCAAACTCGAGGAACAGACAAAGCAGCACAATTCACGACCACATCAGGCTGTAAATCAAATGTTGCTTTCAGACAAGATTCTTGTTACGTCGGATTCAAACACATTTAGAAGCAATTTCTACAAAAGGAAGCATAGTCGAGCTAGAGTAACACGGATTCGGCGATAATAAATCGTAACCTGACCAAAGTCCTGGGAAATTGAAGCGAACCCTAGACCGGATTTGAGATCGACGGGAAACGCAGGGAAATGAGGAAATGCGTCGAGCAAGAGGTGAGGAAGGGGAGAAGAGTGGTGAGTAAAAGCGACGTATTGGTCTCCGCCATTTTTACCGGCGAAAGCTTGAAGCAGATGCTGACCCAAGTAGCCCGTACCTCCGACTATCACCACTTTTGTCTTCTCCATAGTCTCACTCACTTTCTTCCCCAATTCTCCGATCAACTTTCCGATGTCCCTTAATTTAAATTTTACTCTTTTTTCTTTCACAAAATATACTTTTGATAAACCGAAATCAGCCGGTTTACTCTGAACCGACGGATAATTAAGAACAATAATCGTAAAGCAGATTCAAAGCAACGTGGAGAGTAAAGATATCATTATTGCCAAAAAATGTATATAAAGTTTTGATCTTTCAGATATAATCGTTACAAGTAGGAAAAATGTCAAACAAGGACCAAGACAGGTAATCTAGAACTAACCCTGTTCTTTAAGATCTCCATTGGCATTGTTTTAAAAACATATCACAGATTTTGTAAAAGAAAGAATGTTGGTGTTGATCGCAAATAAAAGAAGAGAGATTTTTTTTGTTCTGTTTTTGGCTTCCTATGAAACCTGAGAGAGAGAATGATAAAAAAGTGTCTACTTCTCGTGAACAAGGGGACTGTAGATTGGGAACCACATGTTGCGTGTGATGTAATTCACTGTGTCCTCCTGTTAGCATCATCAAAGATTGCATATTAGATTCAATTTCTCGTATACCTTAAACATGTTTTGATACAAATCTTCAGTTGTTTGGTACCTTAGACATGAGACTTAGATCTTTGGGACCAACATCGCCGTGTCCTTCTGCAATGTCATCAGAAACCGCAGCTCGTAGAACAGCGGCCCCGACTTCAGTTGTTATGTGCCGGATGCTGCATTTTGTTCAAAACCAGTCGCTTAATAAAAACCGTTTTAGCTCAACAAATCAATGGATAAGAGTGAGAAAGAATTCGAGGAAATACTTGTTGATTGAAGGGTATAGTATGCCTTTCTGGACTTCCTCGTCAGTCATGTAAGACGCAAGGCTGTGTGTATTTGAATATACATAAGATCGTTAGAATTGTTAGCATAAGCTCGATTTTGTTTATATACTTGGAAAGAGAAGAGAACCAAACGCAATCATTACCATTCGGCAGCTGCTTGCAGCATTCCATCAGTTACAATACGTGCACCAGCAAGAAGAGTCCCTAACCCGATCCTGGAAACGATAATAAGCGCATTTTGTTCTGTTAGCAATTCATGGATTGAAATGAGATGCAGTAAATCAGTTTTCAAGAAAAGAAAACGAACCCTGGGAATAGGTACATGTTGTTGGCTTGATTCACATGTCCTACTTTACCATTGTCTACAAGTGGGAAAACAAAATGACTTCGATTTTAGAAATTTAGATACAAAAGCCATTTATGAATTCCACCATAACATACCAAGTTCAATGTTCTCAAATGGGCTTCCACTTGCAAACACTATGTTTCCTCCGGCGTGTTTGAAAGCATCAGCAGCAGTGCACTCAGCTGTCACACGAAAATTGTTCAGAGCAGATTGTTCAAAGCAAATGTTACATTTATTTTGCATAGATTAAAAAAAAAAACACCAACCATTCAAGGTGGGATTCGACATAGCAAAAATGGCGGGCTTGCATGAGTCAGATTCTCGCATCGCCTTGAGAACCTTTGATATTGAAACCAGTGAACCATATAAGTAAAACTGATGAATAAAATATCATGAAATTATTTGTTGTCTAAGAAAATCACATACGTCTTCACCGAAGATACCACCAACTCCAGATAAACCAAGAAGAACATGTGGCTTCACCTTCTTCACCTGAAGACATTTTGCATTTAGAAGATGACAATAATATTGTATTACTTACTGATGGAAGTAGTAGAGAAAGAACACAATAAAGCTTAGGCTTACCACTTCAACGATAGTTGCTCCCTCGCGTATCTCAGCTGGATTTTTGGCAAATGCTAAAGCTGCTGGGTCAATTTTCGTCCTCTCCGTGGTGACAAGACCCTGAAGCCCAATCAGTCCTTTTCATATTAGATTATTCAAACGGCTAATGGATAACTTTTACCAATGCAAAAAATAATGGATAATGGATGACTTTTTAAAAGTTTTTTGACTTCTTCTAGGTAAGCTCTAAGTGGATAGCGTAAAACAACATCCAAAAGCAAGCTCTAAAAATGAAATATGACAGCTTCAAAGTCAACTGATCCAAGCTTAATTATTTATTACCAAGCAAGACAGACCCATTCAGACGCTGTCAAGTAGGGGAAAACAGAAACTTACATCTTTATCTATCAGGTAAAAGTTTTTCGTTGCATCAATCTCGCTGATGCCAGCCATTCTCGCAACTGCCTGTACTGCCATCTTCGTTACACCGAGCCCCGCACTGAAAGTAATAGAAGAAATATACAACGTGAAGATGAGAAGAACGTCACTCCAAAATAGAAAATATACGTTAGTGAGCATTTAAAGTGAATATCCAAGTACCTTCCAGCTCCAACCACAACAATCTTTTGATTCACAAAGTCCGACAAGGGACGACCTTGGGCTCTTACAGTTCCCAATAGTCCAGCTAGAGCAACACCAGCAGTTCCCTGACAAATCATTCGCCAACCTTTTTATTAAAAAAATACATAAAGAGTAGCATTAGCAGCTGAATTGCAATGACGAGAACATGCCTGGACATCATCATTGAACATGCAAAACTTCTTCCGATATCTTTCCAAAGTTTCAAAAGCCCATTTCGCTTGGAAATCTTCGAACTATTATGATGGAAAGAACCATTTAGTCATCATTTACCCAAAAGGTAAATCCAAAGTAGAAACTAAAAGATATAGATACCTGTACGACGGCCTTAGGCCAACGTGTAAATGCAGCTTCCATAAATTCATCAATAATCTCAAGGTACTCCTCTCCTTCCAACCTAGGTTGTCTGAGTCCTAAATCTGTAAAATGGAGAAGAAGATACATGAATGAGATATTAAAGAAAAAACATCCATAGAAGTTCATCATATCGACTATTAAAAGTGACTTACAGAGAGGGTTCTGTAGGAGCTTTTCATTATTCGTTCCCACATCCAACATAATTGGCAAAACCTGCAGAAGAACAAGCGTATAACTTTCGAATGAGTAGTTGAAACCCGTGTTACGTACAGCAAAAACACAAACAGTTAATGTTGAGATCCACATACTCTCTGCGGATTGATTCCTGCTGCAGACACGTACATGTCGAGCTTCCCAATAGGAATCCCAATTCCTTGCACCCCCAGGTCTCCTAAGCCGAGAATGCGACTACCATCTGTGATGACAATCATATCCACCTGCTGAGCTGGCCAGTTATAAATCATAGACATCATCTCTCCCTTGTCTTTTGCACTGAAGTACATTCCTCGCGGTCTTCTATACAAACCGGAATAGTTCTGACAAACCAATCCGACTGTAGGAGTGTATATAATCGGAGCAAAATCTTTGATGTTATCCATAAGAACCTGCAGAGAACAAGACTTTACGTCTCAAGAATGTCTCATATCGGATAACTAAAAAAGAAAAACACTTTGAACAAGGCTAAACTCACTCGATAGTACAAAGTCTCGTTACGGTCATGCAATCTATTCAAAATCCTCCATTTTGCTAATGAGACCACGTTTTCTGGCTGCCCTTGTGTGTTCCTCTCTAGCGACCGAAAAGACTCAACTGCCAAATTTGATTTGTTATACCTCAAAGTCTCAGAATTTCCAAAAGGTCTAATGCATAACAAATGGATCCAAATGTTTTGATCACTTACTGAAACGATCATATTGTTGTTCAAAGGATATAACACGAGGAGGAAGCAATCCTCTTAGCCCCAATCTATCTCTCTCAGTCAAAGGAAAACCTGTGTCCTGCAATTATTAAACCCAAATCACAAAAACAAAACTTTTAGTCTAATCAAAAAGCCTTGTTCAAGATTTTTACCACTCAAAATCATTAGCATTATGAGTTAATCAATCGAATCGATTAGAACCCTAAAATCAGAGAATCGAAAAACCTTATTAAACCACGGATCGTGAAGAATATCAGCACCACGCTTATGAACAATACAAGGACCAGGAATCGCCGTCGAAAAGCACCGCCGAGATCCGTGGGCTCTTGCCGCCACCGACTTCGAAAACCCAGCAATGCTCCTCCACATCATCGGTCTCAAGATCCTCCGACCAAACACTACAGAATTGCAAAAACCGCAATTCAACAAGAAAACAAAATCTTTGGGGCTTTGTGGAGTCAAAATTTTATACACAAGGTTTGGGTTTGATCTCTTCTCCTTCCTCTTCCAGTGTGGTTGAATAGTCCTCCAGCTTTA